AGATATTACTGCCGAAATACTCGTCTGCATTAAAAAAAAATGCAGATTTTTCTACCTGCGAACAGCCCAGCCTATTTAGCGACAACCGCGAAGAAAAACAAATTATTCAGTACAAGTGAAATTTTGTCTGTTACCTGGCAATTTTTTCTTCCAGTTCTTCGTCCAATTTAATATCATCATTTTTTCGTTTGCCAGCGTTTGTCATGCATTTTTTTAAACGAAACGCGTTGATTTTACGAAAATCTTCTTGCGTTAGTATCCTTGTTTCACAAATTTTTTTCGCTTTCTCGCAACTCTCAACATTTCTGCGCTTTTCATCATCCTGAAGCATAATTCCTTTAAAATGTATTGCTGCAGCTTCTGAGGTGAAGATACCTGCACGATGAGACAGCTTGAAAACTAAAAAACAAGCAAAGCATGTAGCAGAAAATGAAAACTATCCCAACATGTAGCACAAAATTGTCCGAGCGATCTTGCATTCAATGTGCCAACCGGTCTTTGCACCTGCCTTGTATTAAATTAGCACAGAAACCGTAAAAAAATGTCAAGAACAGGTGACCCACTTTTCTGATCCTTTCGCATGTAGATTGTTCGTTGCTGTTTGAAGGACTGTTACATTCAGGCTGACGCTCTGGCAAACTTGCTCCATCATTCGAGCTGTCTTCATCGATTTCAGTCTCCGAATTATAGCTCATCTCACTGTTCTGCTCTTCCTGAAGGAAGTAAGAGCTTGAAAATTTCCCTTTTATATACGTGCTAGAGAAGTTTTAATATGCAGATACCGTAACATGAACATTAGAAGCTTGAACAACACATAACAACTATGAGCTGTGCGAAACAGCCTTCTTCGACAGGTTCTCCTTCACCGATGAATTCGTAATTCGATTGCGCAGACGAATAATAGTAAATCTGCACGAGAAGTTCTATTTTTTCTACATCTTGTAAAAGAAAAAAATATTTATTTCTGAAATGAACAGAAATGACGACACTGGCAGCGCATGCATACCTCATGTTCTGGATCTGTATCCACCTCCTCAGGTAAGCACTCAGCTCCTTCTACGAAGTCCCTCGCCTTTTCCATACCAAATTCATAAACTTTCACGTTCTTCACTGCCTCCGAAGGCCTGAAAAATTCACGTCGACAGCGAAAAAAGCAAGTACTTAGTGGAATTCGGCACGGGAACATGTAGCTGAGAAAAAGAATATGCGTTGGTACCAACCTGCCGCGATCCTTCCTGTGCAACAATTTTGGATTAACAGCACGAAACAGCGTTATAATCGCACGCGCCGCCATCGATACATTCTTGTTTTTGTAGCGTTTGTACTGGAATATGAAAAGATAAAACATCCAGAAATTCCTCTCAGTGTACACAGCCATGTGCCCAACTTGGCGAGGTTAGCAAAACAGCAAAGCTGTAAAACAGTGGCCCTCTACTGGCCGCATAAATTGAACCACTACTTGACCAATCAACAAGTACACCGAAAAAACTATTAGTAAATCCCGGAGGCTGACTGTAGAGAAATCCGTAGAAAGTTTGTAACTCTCAGATCATGTTTCATTTACTAATTAAAAATTAGGGGCAATTTGACTCCAAATGTGGTGGCTGAGACAAAGTACAGGGATCCGTCTACGGTTATCAACAATACACAGTGCTGACAAGCAGCAGACAATCTACTCACAAAGCACGTGAAAAAGCACAATTCAGTTACAGTGATGTCAATTATGTGAGTAGAAACGCAGTGCCCCCATTCTTCAGTAGATCGCCTGAGGACAAAATAACCAGCGTGAAGCAAAAATACACCGAACTAGGTCAGAATATGTTATGTACAGCTTGAAGATGAAACGAACCCCAACTCAACCACATATTCATGCGCGTTGCCACTGAAATGCCAAAAAATTTCAACCAAGTAATGGCTTGGACTGCAAAATCACTAAAAAGCAGTGGCAATCAAAAAAGACGATGCTGCTCTGCGTCAGGATCCTTCCCCCACATCACTATATCATATATGGAGGAAAGGCACAAGGCTAACAACGGAGGGAGGCCAGGAGGAAACAAATGAGGTAAAAAAGTCGAGCCTAGTGAAACACATGCAGTATATCGCCATTGCTTGTCCTCAGCTTTTCGGTGAAATGAGGGGAAAATTCGGTGGTGCTGCCCCCAGTGACAGTAGTGATGTTCTCAACGATATAACCAATCACTCGAAATGATCAATGCCACCATCACAAAGAAACAGTAATAACCGCGAGAAACTGCGAAATTTCCC